AGTGCACACCTACATTAACTAGCTAAAAAGTAAAGTAAATCCATCTTTGCTTTGACAAAACAGAACAAATACAGCTATGCATTTATCCCAGGAGCTTGGGGGGGCGGCCTCGACTATTTCTCTTCCCTTCCCCATTTCTGTCCTCACGACCCTCTAAGCTGAGTGAGTGTGAGCTAGCTCACAGTTCTTTAGCCTCTGGCTCACACACATTTTTGTCTTCGCTCGATCACCGCTTCAATGCCGGCAGCTCCCAAAGTAGAATTTTTTTGCTCACAAGACTCCACAGCTTAGAGGGAGCGTTGCTCGTCACCACCCTGACTAAGCGGAGAGAGAACCCGTCCCCAAACTACCAAGCAACTTAAAAAATAAATAAATTAAAGTTTAAATTTTTATTTTCTACATAAAACCCACAAAACTACGCACTACCTAAAACCACAGCTATACGACGACCAGATATGATAACGATTAATACCTTAGGTCAAAGCTTTTCTCTTTTTCATGCTAAGAATAAAAATCCTGTTCTTCCGATATGCAAAAAGATGAAATGACTGGCAATGCAGGATTACGTAATGTCACATATAAACATCTTTTCTAAAGTTTAAGCTAGTTTCTGCCTTTCCCACCTCTCTTCTTGCTTTTTAAAAAAAATTTATTTATATTTTACCAAGTTTTTACATTGATAATTCTGTACACACAATTCTGTACACATCATCTGGTGGAGTCTAGTACAACTTTTTACCCTTTATCCATTTATATACCCCTGCCCATCTTTCTGCCTCTCTTCTTGCTTTTATCGTCTCCGGGTGGTTTGGGCGCCGCCGCTCCCGATTCAGATTCTACTTCTGAGCTGCCATCTCTGCAGATGTTTCGGGACTTCCCAAGCCGGTGCGAACTGTCCAGTTCTCCTCCTTCCTCTGCGTTACCAAGCAACTTGTATGGCTTCTTCCTCCCCCCCCAATTTTTCTGTTTTAGCCTCACAACAACCCTGCAGGGCAGGACAGGCAGACACAGCGACTGCCCCCCCCAAGACGACCCC